AGCCTTGTTTGTTCTCCTTTCCTACGTCCGCCTCGTGTCTGGAACAATTAATAGGAGGACGCAGGGAGAGGGCATGATGGACATGGTGATAAAGCCAAGGACTTCCATTAAGACGTCCAAATGTCTCTGCAGCGTGTTTCTAAGCATGGCTGATAAAATCAGGGTGATGATGCAGATGAATGCTTTAATCAATACTTGTCTCAACAGCATCCACTAATATATTCCTGTCAGTGACAGAACAATCGACAATTGGCTGTTTATTTACAAATGAACCAGTGGAGTAAAACAGTCAATGTCCCATCCGTACGATCATTCAGGAAGGTAAATTAAAAGGCTGTTGAGCTGTTATGTATGGATAATTGCGCACTTACCTTTCAATGGTTAATTCAAATTAAATCACATGAGCCTCTCCGGTAACTGGATCAATTGAGGAGAGAGGCTTTTAGTTTCTTTCTCAGAGCACAGACCTGTTATTCAGAGCTGTGGTTTCAGCTCCTCTGATATTTTCAGGAGAAATGCAAGTGGATTGTGGTGCAGGTTTGAGCCTTTTCTTACTCCAAAGCTGCAAAAAGTGGCAAATTAAGCCTAACCCAGAGGTGACGCAGGAAATATGAAGTGAATGATCCATTTCTTTGTTGTTGCAGGAGGTTTATGCAGGAGATGCGGTGGTGGACGGATGTTGTAGTATAAATTGACAGTGATTAATCCTGCACAACTGTGCAGCACATCATCACAAGTTTTTTTCTTTACATCAGACTGATGAAGCTGAAAAATCCTTCCCAGATGGATGTCTTGTTCTCCTCCTTCTCCTTCTCCTCTGTTGAGGTGTTTCCACTGGATTATTGACCTCTTCTGAAATTACAGGAGCCTGTTTGGTAATAAGGGAACCGTCTTCGTTCTCCTGCCACCAGATTTCATCAGCAGGCTCATCCTGGGGTTCAAATGTCAATGGGAGGCTGGGCTGACCATCCTCTCCAGCATTTCTTGAGGCCTGTTAGTGGAGCTCCGCTTTAAGGTCTTTAGTCTCTTGAAAGTGACACTTCTCCCTCTCAAAAGCCTCTTGAAGCAGAAGTTCCAACTTCTGCTCCTGTTCAGCCTTTAGCAAAGATGTCATACAAATATACAATAGTATACACCAAATTCTGCCAGTAGGCAGCTGTTGCCCAGTGGTAGAGTTGGTCAATCAGAAGGTCAGGGGTTGGATCCCAGGTCCTGCTGTCCACATGCTGAGGTGTCCTTGGGCAGACCACTTGACCTCACCCGCCCCTGCTGGCTGCGCCCAGTGGTGTGTGAATAGGATAAGTCAAAAACTGATGGGCACTTTACATAACAGCCTCTGCCATCAGTGTGTGAATGTGGTGTGAGAGGATGAATGCACGAGAGCTTCCAGTGGTCAGAAGACCTGAGGAAGTTTTGTATAAACATAGTCCATTAACCATATTGCACAACAGTGGATATGGTGGATATTTGCTCTTTGCATGCACCATTTCTGCATTAAGTCACAAGGTCAGTGAATGTTACAACTCAAGCTATCAGCATAAATTACTGAATCTCCAATGACGACATCCTGAGATGATTCTGCAAAAACATAATCTGTAATTACAGCCAAGACTTACAAAATATTGTCAAAAATAGCTGATTGATGTTCAGTAACTTCTGCTTGCAAAACTGGCTTCTTTTTGTGATAATATATCAGAAAGTTCCATATTTACTTAAGCTAACTTGCCCTTAGACCTGTAATGGCACCAAATGACAGTCCATAAAAGGATGTACCCTCAGTGGTTTTACCCCATTGGTTGTTGAGGCAGAGTTCTGAAGTTCAATGATGGTGGTCACCATATTGGAAATGCTGACCTTACATCAATCAATCAGTCACTCAAATTTTATTTATACAAAGCCAATTCACAACAGTCGTTATCCCAAGACAGTTTCTGAAAAAAAAGAAAAAAAAAAAGAAAAGAAAAAGGGCAGGTCTAGACCACGCTCATTGTTTGATGAATTACCAAGACCCAACCTTGAGATGGGACAGATTTGACCCATCTCATCTAACATGAGTGACAGTGGCAAGGAAAAAATTGGGGAGGACCAGACTCATTAGACAGCCACCTCGCTGCAGCTGAGTTGGGGAGAAATACAGAGAGATACGAAGGGAGAAAGAGAAAGGAGTAGGAGAGAGGGCAGGAGGAGAGAAAGAGAAGGAAGAAGAGAGAGAGAACGAGTAAGGAGGAGGGAGGGGAGGGAAAAGAGAACAAGGGTGAGAGAGAAAGCGGACAGCAGCAACAACAACAACAGCTCATATAGAGTTGTTGGTTGCAGAGCAAGTAATGATGAAACAATATGAATTCAGTTTACAAGATAAAGTGTCTGCAGCAATGGTCCAGAGGAACCAAAGAGAAGAAGGAGCTCAGGGCTTTAGGTGGACAATCATAGATGATGCAGCTGTGGTCACGCAGTTCCACAGCACACCGTCTGCAGCATCAGTCCAGAGGAACCTAAGAGACTCAGGGACACTCAGAGAGATCTGGTTAGTAACTTAAATGGGACATAAAGATCTGGAGGAAAGAGGAGAGAGAGGGGGACAGACAGGAGCTCAGTGTGCCAGATAACCCAGGCAGTCTAAACCTATAGCAGCATAACTAACCCTCTGGAGTCTAGGGTATAATTGGCTGTTTTTAACTACTTTCGATTTTACCCTTATATTTCCCTTTAAAAACTGTTTACCTTGCCTTACTTGGTATCATTTTTTTCAACACAACCTCACCTGTATGAATTAACAGGGATTTTATCATTTTGACTTACTGTACAAAACACAAAATCTGAGTGGAAAAAACGTAACTTTTTTACTGCGAAAACCACAAATATGTTTAACAAACCGTTTTCATAACTTAGACTGCAAATATAAATTGTAAACTTCAGAATACATATACAATCTTAGCAAATAATATTGTAAATGCAGGCAATGCCTCATGTGATTTTTTTGTATGTATGATCTCACAAATGGCACATTTTATCTGCGCCACTCCAAAAAAACAAAAACAAACAAACAAACAAAAAAAAAAACAGTTTCTGTCATGTCTATGGTTTGGTTAATTTAATCTATTTTACTCTTCCTTATGTTTCTTATGTTCTTCCTGTTTTATTTTGAAACTTACCTGTGTCTCTTGTTTCAGGTGTCTTGACTTCAGCCCTTGTGTGCTCTGCTCCCTGATTGCCCTAATGTGGTCCACCTGTGTCTTGTTATCTATGCTCCCTGTGTGTATTTAAGCTCAGCCTTCTCTCTCTTCTGTGCCAGTTCATCTCGTTCCCGTGTGTCAAACGGTCCAGCATTTTCCTTGTGCTAGTTTTCCGGTTTTTGACTTAGTGTTTTTTGGACTGAGTTTTGCTCGTCAATTTGTATACCTCTGCCTACCTCTGTGACTGCCTTCCTGTGTACCGAACCCTTGCTTGATAAAAACTAGTGATGTTTCAAAGCGTGTGTCGAGTAACGAAGGGGGTGTTTCCATGAAGCGGGTATCTAGGCTTGCTTCATGTAGGGCCAAAAATGACGACAGCCGAAGCCTCGCTGCCCGGCTGTACCATGTGATTGCTTCAGGAAGTGGTTCAAATTTTGCCACGAGGTTTTACAGCTATATAAACCCCTCAGACTCCATTCGGTCAGTTGAGAGTTTGGCTAGAGTTTGGATAGCGTTTATAGTTTGGAGATAGTTTATATAGTTTGGAGAGTTTAGGAAGAGAGAGAGATTTAGGAGAGTAGGATGTGTAGGAACACTTCGGTCTAATATCTCCTAACAAGGTAAGCTAAATCTAACAGTATTACAGACACATAAGGTTTGCTTATCAATAACTATTTTTTTACGGTTTATTTTATTCAAAGGTGAGGTCTTTTTTGTATTCCAAGGAGTTGGGGTACAATAACAGCACCTCATCCATGCTAAGGCATTACTGTGCCTTGCATAAGAATAAGGAGCAAACTAGAGCTTCATCTTGCCAAGGTAAATCATAACAATATTACAAACTCACTGTCACAATTTTTCCATGTTCACTTTTGTTTATTGTGCAAATAAAGACAAGTAACACTGTATTTATTCTCTTTTAACCAACCACCAGAAAACAGGAGCTGGATAAAGCCATTGTTTCCATGATAGTGAAGGACACACAGCCCTTCAGTATTGAGATGCTGGATTTAGGGCATTTGTGTCCAAACTTGATCCTAATTATGCTATCCCTACCAGGCTGGTATGTATGGGTGCATGCATGAAACAGATGAGTACTTAATTGTATGTCTCACAATTCAAACAAATTAAGCATTATACATTTTTCCCTTAGGCTCTGAAGGCCATGGTGGAGGCCAAGTATGAGTCAGCAAAAGAGAGGGCTAAGGCTGAAGTTGATAAGGTGGCTGCTGTTAGCCTTACTTCTGACATGTGAACATCCATCAACATGGATGCAACATGTAAACCAGGCTCAGCCCAGTGCTGTTGTGAGTGCAGATATTCCCCTAATCACACACTGCTTAAAACATAGCTCCTGTGAAAGCCTCCCTGATGGAGAATCACTAATAAGGTGACATATGTATGGTCACTGATGGTGCTCCCAATATGGTTGCATGTGTGAGAGAGCTGAAGCTTCCGCACCATATTTGCATTGCACACGCACTGGCCCTCATTTATCAAGCTTGCGGTACAGCAGAAAACTTGCTGCACCTTGCATACGAAAATTTTGACGTGAGGATCGGCATTTATCAATCAACCATATCTCATAACCGGTCTGACATCGTGTACGCAAGTTTGAGTCAGTGTGGATCTGCGGTGCAGCAAATGTCTATCTCAAAATAATTGATAAACAAACCTCAAATCCATCATTAAGCACAACCAGCCAGATTTCATTAAAGATTAAAACGTAAATAAAATAAAATAAAATTTGTTATGTCCTTAGTGAATAGGCCTATTTGATAACTCTGCCCAGAAACACCGCCACACAGCAGGACTGCCATTTCAACATTACGCACACAAGCACCACTGTGGAGCACTGCGTTTGACTCCTAAAAAGCAGGTAGCTCTGTCTTGGTCCAGCAGCAGGGACGTTGTTGTCCACTCCTGAAAGGGTGTGGGACATTATTTGGGCCAGTGCAGTTTTGCAAAATGTTGCACTGGCGATTGGAGTGCCGTTGACTGTGCCGGTGCAACGCAAGGACCCGATGCCCGGAGAACAATAACGAGGAGAGACTCCACAAAGGTGCTGTACAGAGGAGACAGGACCTTATCCATGGATTCTGACATGTTAAGTGTTCTGACATGTTTTTCAGTCAAACTAAAGCCACTGAAGCAATAAAGCGACTGACCTCAGAGTGTGCTACCATTATGAGGGTACAACAAAGCAGAGAGGAAATCTCCCAGGCTTTTACCTCTCATGATGTCACTGAAGGTAATCTATTACTTTACATTTTTGACATCAATTATTCTTATGAGAACACTTACTAACATGATCTGTGATTTCCTCTCAGGTAGCAAACTGTGGCATTGTTTAGACACCAGCATCATGGAGGCAAGAAGGTCTCAAAATGTCACTGCAGATGCTACTGTGGAGGTCTAGTGGTATCTTTCAGAGCCAAATATAGGAAAACTGGAAAACCCTCTGGAGTACTGAGAGACGCAAAAACTACTCTGACCAAATGTACAAACTTTCACTTGCTTTTTGTGCATGCCTTGTAAAAGGGTCTTCTCCAAGGCTGGAGAGGTTGTGTCTAAAAAATTGTATAAAACCAAAAACTGTTGAGGAACTCTTGTTTCTGAATAAAAATTGATGAAATTTCCCCTGTCCTGTACATCCAAGTTACACAAGCATAATCTGTGCCCTTTTCCTAGTTCAACAAGCGCTTTCACTGTCCTCTGCCTGATAATGCCCATGCCATTTTCAGTGAAACATTGATGATATTATCATTTTGGGAAAATTTACACACAGAATACAACCTGTGTGTGTGTGTGTGTGTGTGTGTGTGTGCAGCTTTAATTTGTTTATCTTTCAGATCAACAAGCTAGCAAGCTAGCTTGCTGACTAGAATTTGCTAACACAACTATCATCTTGATCAGCATTACATTTATTGGCTTTCTCCCATAACATTTACGGTACATTATTGTGACAGCAGGTTCATTGTTTTTGTTGTTTCAATCCACCAAATTCAGTTCTATCTCCTCCTCTAATGAAACAATATCAATCTCCCTCCCCATCATTTGTCTCAGCAAACCTAGCTAGCGCTGTAGCAGCAGTCACACCCCCCAGTGGCATCACTTCACCAGTAATAGTCATATCACAACATAACACACCCCCAAATATTTTATTTTATCACCAGATGTGTTTGATTATTTTGTAGGTTGAATAATCACATGGGAAACTGAAAATCTTTCTTACCTGAGTGATTGAGCGATGAGAGTAACAGCTTGGAAATGTTAGAAGCCAGAAAATCTTGTTGTGCATGTGAACATAAAAATGTGTGTATTTCCAAAACTATAAGGGCTACAGGCATGAATTTGGTACCTGCTGAAAGGTAAGACTTGTCAGATTTCTGCGGCTAAAATGATGCAAATATTACCCAATTGCCCTGCTGAGAAAAGATACACAAGAGAAAAATAAAAATGCTATTTCCGCCTATGAATATTTTTTTAAAAGAAGGCTATAAAAGTTTTAAATTTTATCTAGACAACAAATCAAACTATTTTTTTTCAATTCTCCAATGACTTAGGAATAAGTCAAAATGATTTAGGGGGGCAGAGCAGTCAACAAGTAGTCCAAAAGCCCCATAATAGCAAACAAGCACCATACAGAATTCAGGTATTTCTGCTACAGGACTCCATAGATTAAATGCATGATAACCATCACTAAGCTTCCAGTCTGCAAGGGTTATCATGCCAAACCATATACTAGGGATGTGGAGCAACTAAAAAAAACTAACTAGAAATTGCCCACCCGATTTATTGCAATCAGTGGTCTGGCTCATGGAATAACATTCAAAAAATTATTATACCCATATGTGATAATTTATGTACAGAAATTATTTGGTCATACATTTTTATGTAATTCATAGTCATTCCCAACAAAGATAACAGACACAAAAAATCAATGCATCACACATTATGTGGTCCGGATACAGCTGCCTGTGATTATACACTCAACCAGTAGGTGGTTTCCTGTGCATGAAGCTTCAAGAAATCAACCCTTTCTTGAACCAATTGGCTTAAGTGGTTCAATGCCTCATCAGGCTTCATCTCATTATCACTAATTAAAACCTACTCTGAACTTTTATCTGGCTCCTGAGTCCAGCTTTTGGGCCCAAATCCTGGTTTGTTGTTACAATTCCTGTCCACCAAGACACAGAGGGGCACATCACAGGCCTCTTTCTGTCCACTTAATATCAGCAATAGCACCTTTTTCTGCCTTTGGTTGATTTGTTGGCATCAGTGGCTGTGATGATTGGCACAGGGATGTGATCTTCCCTCCTGCTTTGGGGAATGCTATGTTCATGTCACAAAGCTGACACCCTAGCTCCACCAGAAAGTCTTCCAAATCCCAAACCTCACTATACACTCTCCCTCCATTTGCACATCACTGCGGAGGCTCTGCCATATTGAAGCCCATCCCAAACCACAGAGTGCGGAGGGCCAGTGGACCGTTCGCTTCAATAGCGAGTCTGCACCCACTCACGACGGGATTTGCAGATAGTGCACCTGCAAAAATGGAGGAGGAGGAAACAGCATACAAATATAAGTTCCGTATGTGTCCACATTTGTCTTACTGACAAAAAATAAATAAATCACAAAAGACATGGTTTGGAAAGATCAAACCAAAGTCAGAAATCTTACTCCGTGCTGAAGTTTGATTTGATTGTGCAGGCATGTGTCAAATAGTAAAGGGGTTCAAAGACGTGTGGAATCACTAACAATCAGTCAAAAGTTTAATTTAGCTCCTGTCACTGTAATGGTTATTGGGTTTATGTTTTCACTGGGACAATGAAAAACAAGGCTGCCAGTACGGTTCAGAACTGTAAATGATGCCGTTTACAAAGAAAAGAAACGCTGCCATGATGGGACGCGTCTTTGTGTTGCTATGGCAATGGATCTTTCCGTTTTCCGGTGGAGTGGGAAGGACGTCCCATACCTGCCCGTCTTGTTTATACCCTCTCATTTCAATAGAGGTGCACTTTACAGCTGCGAGTGTAACTTCATTACGAGTGACACTTGGTAGTGAAGGGTGAGTGTGTAGGGGGTGGATCGAGATTGAGCCTTTGTGTATTATGGGCTGTACCTGCTTGGTTTTGCACATTTCACAGTGCATGATGTAAAACATGATGTAAAAAAAACGGATGTAGATCCTCCTTCTCTATGCCAGTCCAGTTGAAATTTTTTGTTCGTGTTGCTGCAGATTGTTCTGACTGAAAAAGGTCTTCTGGACTGTGGGGGAAAAGTGTCTCTACCTGGACCCCTGATGGTCTCTTGGCATAGACACTTACTTACTTACTTACTTTGCTTAAGTGGATCACCTGTCCAGCAGAAAGGTACAGGGTCTGTAAGAACCCTGAAGCATCCCCCATCGTTTATGTTGACCCGGTTCTTGTCCTGTCTACCTCCTTTTAAGCGCCCATTATTCTGTCTCATTCTCCGGTATTTACTTTGTTTTCTTGCTTGTGTTGGCAGTTGTGGCCAATGGAGGATTCAGACAATTTTCTGTGCTTTCTGGTTGGTTTCTAATGTCCGATATTGTAGCATGGTAACTTTGTTTGGGCTCATGCACGTTATTGGAGGACGTGGAGCGTGCCTCACAACATGAGCAGCGTCTGCCTCACAACCAATCAGGTTGGGGGAGGCAGAGAACGGCTTTCTTTACAGCCAGAAAGAGTGGACTGCTCAAAAAATTTAAAATTTTGACTACACAGACATAACAAAACACAGCTATTTCATTATATTACTAAATGCCATCGAGAACTAATAGCTATTGACTGATATTAAAAGTTTTTTTGTACAAACACCACAAAAAAAGATGCCTCTTCAACAGAATCCTGCCTACCTCACCTTAAACGCTGACATTTATTACAATATTACTGAAGTTACGTTTAGCCTTTGCCAGCAGTTTCAAACTACCTACTATGTCTCCCGCTCTGGCCCCAGGAAGACACTGAACTATGACCGCTGACTTTGTTAATTTCACATTTCGGACTACAGAGTCTCCAATAATGAGAGTGTCACCAAGAAAGCTATCGGGAGGTGCAACACACCACACACACAGTTCAGCAGCAAGGAACAGAATGATGCGCTCACCAGTCAGGAAGAGATGTCGCGGACACCATGATTACAGTGCCTTCCAGTCAACTAAGCAATAAGCAAAATGGTGGAGTTGCGGTCAGCTACGACTCTAACTTGGCCAAATTATGCAAAACTTGTAACCTCAATGTCTGTATAATAACAGTGTTTTAAACAAGTTCAACCCAACAAATTCAAGTGGAAAAACAGGCTATTCTGACTAAAACTGTGTTTGTACCGGTCTGTAAGAATGTTAATTCATACTCTAAAAATGGGCATTTTAACATGATTATAAATGAAACTTCCTAGGCTTTTGGAGTCAGCCTCAAGTGCACACTTGAGGAACTGCAGTTTTTAGCACTCCCATTTTGACTCCAGTTTTAACACATAAAGCAGCCACTTTGCACTCAAAATACAGGTTCGCCATCTGACTCTGATATGCTAGTGATTCAGCACATTCATCAGTGCACCATGTCTGCAAAATCACTTTTTAAAAGAAATGTTTTTTTTTTCTGTTATATGATGAAAAATAAATCAATATCAAGCCTCTTTTCCAAATACCTGTGCTCCTTTTTTAATGTTGTTTTCATGACCTTTCCAGCATTTTTGAACCCAACAGGAACTGTAAACATCACAGTGGGAGAGGGAAAATTTTGGCTGACGATTGTTTCGTCACCTGCTGTTGAGGTCAAAAATAAATGGTCAAGCTCGACTTCAGAGTCGGTATTGATTAAGGTGCGAGGAACACACAGCAAGCTGGAAGTTTAAAGATACTGACGGCTCAGTGAAAAGTACAAAACTTAAACTGCTGATGATGGTGATTCTTGGTTTCTTTGGTTTGTATAAAAATGTTCTTGAAGAAACAAGTGTGTGTGTGTGTGTGTGTGTGTGTGTGTGTGAATGAGTGAAATGCCTGTAAATGCTGTTCCCAAAATGAAAGAAAATGTTAAAGTCTAAAGATGTATCATTTGTCTGTTATTAACCCCAGAAACTCTAAAAACAACACACTTTACGGCAATGAGTAACTTCTAGGAAAAACAGTGCTTAATGTTGTTTTCAAAAAGGGCAAATCATGTATTTCACAGATACTTAACCAGGATTTATTGAAGTGCTTCAAACAAAAACACTTGATTTAGCTTCATTTGACCCCCACATAACCCTGATTGCAACACTGATATATTAAGAAGATGAAGCGTGATGAGCTTTTAAATCCCAGCAGCTCTGTGTCAGCGATAGACCAAATATAGAGGGATAAAGGGGAGGAGTGGGAGGAGGGGTCAGGCAGGGGTACAGATGTGAAGGTCTACCCATATCGTAGAGGACTGGAGCGGAGCAGATGGTACTCACAGTTATCACAGACAGGGCTCAGATAAGTTGAGAGGGCACAGGGCTGACGGGGGGTCTACATCTGGTTAGATAATCAGAGCCAAGGGGAGTGCAGAAGAGACCATACATCACTCACAGGAGAGGCT